ATTTTGTATTAAAATACATTGATTGTCTCCATCTATGTTCTCGTCCACTACAGTATTACCTGGCCTAAAGGTTACATACAGTCCCGTAGCTAAGAGTCCAAGGGTAGGGAGAGTTCGCTCTCCCTCTTGAAATGCTTACATATGGCTAGGTGTATAGTCATTATCAAGGAAGTCTTATTCACTACCTTCTCGTGGAGGGGTTGTTTACGGAATTGGGAGGACGAAAAGAGAATGTTTGGCACTGTAACCGTGTCCGTGGGCACGGAGTATTCACTTAGAGGATTTGAAAAACTAATTCCGAACCAACGGGGCCAACATGGGATCCAGGATCTTTAGGGAACAAATAGTTTGTGAAACTATTTTTGGTAACTGGCTACCATAAGAACGCATCTTCTTACGTTACTCCCCTGCCTTGTAGATCAGACCTCTAGGTTAAAGGCTCGTGGAGTGGCCCCCCTGGAAGAACCATATGCTTCGGTTTGGGCAACCGGGGGTACCCCAGTCCTCACAAAATGTTTGTGAGGCGCATATATATTTTGCCGACCCATTGTACCAATGTTTATGTTTAAATAAATAGACAAAACTGGAAGAAGTAACAAAAATGTAAATTACTCTATTGAAAGTTTATTATTTGAATATTAATGGCCGTGGTTAGAAATCATGGTTAAAATTTATTTGAATTAGTTACTTTAAGTGGAAGTTATCAGAGTTAAGCACTTCCAATAAATTTATAGTGAATATACTTCTCGAGTTAATACTCATTTTCTTTCTTGTTTGACGATACTTTAACTCACATGAAGTATCCAGGTACTATAATCCTGTTTGATTAAAATGTTAGGATAGTGCACTCTCCTGAATACGAGTAACAATCAAAAAACTTTTTGGATGTGCTTCTCATCTACCAAATGATAAACGCTTGGTTAAATCAACAACTTCGCGATGTAAATCTACGACTGAGGTTGAGAACAAAAAGATTATCTAGATTTTTCCAATTTACGTTGTTTGTGAAACAAGCAAAAGGTCAGATTGCTTCGGAGTATATGAAAACGTTAGCCATTAATATGATAAGATTTAATTTCAGTTTTGAAAAAATATACCCTTCGAAGATAGATGACATGGGTAGTTGACTATTATTCAATCAAGCATGTAGGCGAAGCATTTCTTTTAAAAGACGAAACCATCAAGTGGGTAATGTTATCGGAAGTAACTTAAACATGGTAAATTGTGCTGGAATATGAGGTCAGAAATGTAGTCAAACCAAAAAACACTACTAGTTCGTTAAGTCATAGACATTTTGCTTGAGCTAGATAGGTTTCCAAGTTGAGGTTTGAATAGATAACCGTTAAAAAAGTTCGAGATTAATTGAACTGATCTAAAATCGATTCAGTGGTATAGGTGTATGGTCTTTTCATCTTCGAGGTCGTGGAAACAGTATTACAACACAATTCCCATTTCTCAATTTCACTATCTTATTTTTGACACACCTTGTTTCTACGATACTTCAGAAGTGTGGCAACACTTGCCTCAGACTCTACTTCATATATATTCATCCTTTTGATCACACTAGTCAATAAGTAGTTTCTAGTAGGGTTAACGTCAATATTCCATCATCTCAGGAGTTAATGCCGTTAGCCTAAATGGTAACTAACAAATTCACTTGATATTGTTTTACTTGAATCTTCCCATTGATGCTTTAGGACTGAAATTGATCAGTCTCTTATTGCACAAGCAAGTGGCTATCAGGACTCAGTAGCTAAATGGATAACGCGATGACGTTTGAAGCGGACGGTACTGAGTTCGAGTCCCAGAGTGAACACCAACTCTGAGATGCAGGTACATCCAGCTAACGAGTCCCAAACAGGACGAAACGCACGTCCTGGATTCCACTGCTAGCCACTATATATCTTTGCTGGTAACTAACAAAGTTACTTCATCCTATAACAACGTTTACTCAACATCACTTTAAGTCGTTTTTTCTACACTTGATCTTACAGTAAAGCCACGTTGAATGAATCTTGAAGCATAAATTAGTCTAAATGAGGTTACAGATATTTAGACTGTTAGCAATGACCTTCAGTTGCAAGTTGTAAATTGTCTTCTCTGGTCTTCACATACCAGGCTGTATGATACATTACAGAAAATTGGGGCAAATGTTATTACTACATTTCATCACTCTTTAAATAATCGTTCATCGAACAGAAGCTTTATATCCTCATCAAAGAAATTAAGCATGAATTGGTATGTGCCTAATTTCAGCATCCATTTATGCGTAACTACATAAACGAACATGAACTGGTGTGATCGAATTTCAAGAATTTTCACTAAAAAGAGGATATCTCCCAGTCATTTTCACTAATAACGAACAGTAACCGTAAGATCTATTTGTGTCTATAGTTGTGTTAATGTCAACAGATATAAATTACTTAATGTCTCTTAATGTTTGAAGTTAATGGTTAGTCAATGGTAATTAGCATAAAGCCCGACACAAATGTACTTTAGCTTAATTTACCAAACCACATCAGCGCGAAAAAAGAAAGTTAACATAATGGATACCAAAGGAATTGAATATAATTGTAGCAGGAATGATAGTGAGAATGATTGACATTGGAAACATGGTTCGAAAAAACGACATAGAGCGACATGTTTGAGAAAATGCTGGGTCTCAAGATCTAGCAAAACAGGATACAGGGGACTATGAATTTAGGTTTCAATTAAAGTACTGACCATCAACTATCGACATCTGCAATAGACGACATCCATAAGGTTGAATAAATAAACACACGCTGCAATGTAGCTCGATAGGGTCATGTCAGGATACCAGTTCTGGTTGGATAAACTATGTACAGCGACAATAAGTGTGAAGGCTACTTGTTTGTCTGAACTGCCACCTGTAGCTCTTCTAGAGTTACCGCCGGTCTCAAGCCTAGGTAAAGGAAAACGGTTGGGTATGGAGTCGGCAACCCCATCCCATAGAAAAAAATCTTGCTACAAAATCGTCAACCAGAATAAACAATTTAAACCGTTTAAACTCTTCCCTCCGATTTGAAGGAAAAATTATGGCACCTCATGATGAAAGCCAAGATTCTTCGGAAGTCACCAGGCCGAAGCCTCTTCTAACAACCAGAGCAACTATTTTTATAGGTATAGAGAATGTTCGGACAATGTGGAAGACCGGGAAGACGAGTCAAATAGCAACAGAAATGAGGAGATACAACCTGACGGTCCTCGGAATCAGCGAAACCCATTGGACCCAAGCTGCACAGCAAAGGTTAAATACGGGAGAGATGCTATTATACTCCAGTTACGAAGAGGGGAATGCTCCACATATTCAGGGAGTTCCTCTGACGCTGTCCAAAGAAGCACGTAATGCACTTACAGGATGGAGATCTCGTGGATCCAGAATCATCAAATCATCCTTTAAAACAAAGAAGGAGGAAATTACAGTGAATGTTATCCAATGTTGTGCACCCACCAATGATAGCAATGATGACGATAAAGACCTGTTCTATAAGAGGATGCAATCGATCATAGCGAAACGACCAGGAAAGTACCTGGATGGGAGAACATTATGGAAACTTCTTCGATATTATGGTGTACCTGAGAAGATCGTCAGCCTTATCCGGCGATCATACAACGGACTACAATGCAAAGTTGTGCATGGAAGATAACTGACAGATGCATTCCAGGTAAGGACCGGAGTCAGAAAAGATTCTCCCCCTTCCTCTTTCTTCTGGTGGTTGAGTGGATTATGAAGACCTCGACATCTAAGGTAAAGCATAGAATACAATGGACAGCTCGGAATCAGTTAGAAGATATGGACTTCGCAAATGACCCGGCCCTTCTATAGCATACACATGAACAAATGCAAGTGAAGATAGCCAGTGTGGCAGCAACCTCTGCAGTAGTAGGCCTCAATATACACAAAGGTAAAACTAAGATCCTCAAACACTACACGGTTAACACCAACCCAATCACACTTGATGGAGAAGCTCTGGAAGATGTGGAATCTTTCGCGTACCTGGGAGGTGTCATCGATGAAAAGGAGGACCTGATGCAAACACAAAGCCAAGGATTGGCCTACAATTGAAGAAAATATGGAACTCAAAACAACTGTCAACCAGTAGTAAAGTCAGAATCTTCAATTCTAACATCGAGACAGTTCTAATGTATGGAGCTGAAACTCGGAGAACTACTACAACCATCATCAATAGGTTACAAGTACTTATAAACAGTTGTCTACACAAGACACTCAATGTCCGTTGATCGGATACCATTAGCAACAGACTACTGTGGAAGAGAACAAACCAACTCCTGTTGAAGAGGAAATTAGGAAAAGACGTCGGAAGTGGATAGGATATACATTACGGAAATCATCAAACTGCATCACGAAGCAAGTGCTAACTTGGAATCCTGCGGAGATGGAAAGAGCAATGCCAGAGAGCACACTACGTCGTCAATTGGAAGCAGACATGAAAAGAATGAATAGCAATGGGAGAGGATTGCCCAGGACAGGGCTGGATGAAGAGTGCTAGTAGGTGGCCCATGTTTCTCCACAAAGGGTAACAGGCGTAAGTAGGTAAGTAAAAAAGGCCTTGAGTATTTTGATTTTAGTGATAAGAGTAGTTTTATTTTATCGGTGTCCTGTTATTTGAAATCAAATCCACAAGCATTGAAAATAAAGGTGGGGTGGTCGAATACACATTTACACAAAAGAAATGGCTGAAGTAAGAGAAATCAACACATCTCATTCAACCCATGGTCTCCCATGAAATTCGGAAATCCCATGAGAGAATTATTGATAAAGACGAATTTTCGAATACATTGGAAGTTGCCAGTTAGCAGTGGAAAAGTAAAGCAGAGATGAGAGATTTCCTGAAACGAACTATGGACAACTAGTGTAAAACATCAAGTTATACTATACTTAAGTCATAGAATTAATTCTCTATAGAAGGATTCAACTTGCGAAAAGATACATAGATACAATTAATGAGTTTAATTACTTTATACTTAATGCTGGATCCTGACCAGTTTCTGTTGCTTTAGAGTTTAGTAACAATTCAAGAATTGTTTGAGCCCAATAAGAGCGATAAGATAATAGACCCAAATCACTTAGCGGTTTTTCAGGTGATCCGGATTTACCTTCAATTTTGCTCAATTCATAGCCTGAATAAGAAAAATATTAATACAAAATATTCGGTTAATTAGTTGTTGAAGAAAAGAAACGAATCCTGTAACTACAACTTTAACTGATGTTAAAAAAATGGTCTACCCATGAAAGTGAATCGTCTAATTACGATCACTTCAACATCAATGTACCAATATCACCAGAAATTACCATGATGACTAGATTAAAATCTAGGGATCATAATTAGTTTTTTGCCTCATTTACTGAACATTGAGAAAAATCTGTTCGAAAGTAGTGTTCAAACCAACGGGGTAATAACTGATAAAAAAGAAACACAAGACATAAAATGCATCACTTTACTTCTATAAGATAACGCCAGCTAGACCAGCACTGAAACGTTGTGAAGATAAAAGTGATTTGATCAGTGTTGAATAACAAAGATTCAAACGTGATAAACAGACTCCTCCCATAACGAAACCACCTGTTTGACTAGATGGTATATAAACGTATACAAGGAGGGACAAAAATAACACCTTATTAGGGACTGAAACATGATTTCTCTTACTGCATCTTAGTCAAACCAAGTTTAGAAAGTTCTAATGGATAATGCATACAACAATCTTTAACATACTTATAAATCCAAATACCACATCAAACGAGATGATGACTAGGTGTATACTGACGATTGAAATATATACGTGACTCATTCACCAGGTACTTGAGTGTGAGCCATACTGTATATATATATATATATATATATATATATATATACGGCCGAGAGTGGGGAGAGTCCGCTCCCCCTCTCGAAATACTCTCACATGGCCACGCGTATATAGCCTCTGCCAGGGAAGTCCTACTCGCTGCCTTCTCGTGGCGGGGGTGTTGTTTACGAAAATGAGAGGACGAAAAGCGAATGTCCGGTGCTTTAACCAAATCCCAAACCAATGGTGCACATGGGCTCCAGTATCCTGAGGGAACAAATGGCGTATGAACCAAATGTTGGTCACCGGCTTCCATGGGACTGCATCTCCTTACGATGCTCCACTGCCTTGTGGATCAGACCATCAGGTCGAAGGCTCGGGGTGTGGCCCCCTAAGAAAACCACCTGCTTCGGTTTGGGCACCCGGGCAGTATCACATCTCTCACACACATCGAATGAGATTTGTGTGGCGCATATGTATTTGGTGCCTCTTTGTACCATTATCTATGTGTTGAAATAAATAATTGAAAGGCTAGTATATTGTATAAGTCTTTTCCTACTAATATTTGGTTGCCGTATGTAATCTTTGAGGTGGGGCATGAAAAAGACACACGTAAGGCTAATTTCTGAACAAACTAGTGAGATTTAAGATAGCGGTTCTTGGATTTTGGCGCAAAATCTATTCATCCATATGGTAAATTAGCACTTTGGCATTAGAACTTATGTCAATTCACGGTGAAAACACTAACTCTACTTACTAAACCTAACGTTGAACTTTAAATTCTAATACTAGTTACACGCACTAATTTAAAATCCTTTATTAACTCTAGTAAGAAGCTGAATATTCTCAAAGTTACTTTAGCATCGCATCAAGGTCGTCCATAAATTATGATCTCATCTGTATTACTGAGGTAAATGAACGAGCCAGTTAAGCCTTGATACGCCATTGGATAACATGGTTTGAAGATAGATTACACATACGGTTATAAAATACCTCAATATTTTAAATTTAAGCACTGGTGTATTCGGATTATACGGACTAGTGACTATGCACCGAACCAATTAGTAAAAACCTCTCGGTTTTACCTGATTCTGACAATAATCCTCACCTTCATAAGACATACAAACCTGAACTGTATGGAGGATTGTGCAAATCTAGACGAAGATACACGTATGCCAAACTCCTCAACAATGAAATAACTATCTAATAATCGATATTGTACAGTACATAGTGTCCGAGACAATGACGTTCTTTTCACACTATACCGGTATGGTGAAATTTTGGTAGATATGGGAGTGTGAAGATGGTTTTACACATGGATTTCACCATCTCAGATACACTCACGCACCTTCCACCCTCAAATCTTGTTGACAAAGATGAATTCTTGTATCCAGCCCCTAAATGTTCTGATGCGGCCGAGGATGAGAAGAGTCAGCTTTTCCTCTCCGAATGCTCTCACATGACCGTGCGTATACAGCCACTGCCAAGGAAGTCCTACTCACTATCTTCTCTCTGTCTATCGTGATGAACCAATAGAGCTATATTGGCTAGAACAATCGTTCCTCAACGTCCTACCATGTCAGACAGGTCGGTTGAAGAGCGGTAAGAATAAAAGCAACAAACCCAAGGTCTGAGAACGAAGTCGTACTACTGACTGTACAGAGGTGTAACGACAATAAGGTGTTTTCTTCAGACAACCAGAATAACAGCGATATTACCTTTCCACAAGGGGGGTGAGGTTAGAAAAGGTCGACCCTAAAATGCACACCTCGCCTTATCCCATGGATATCCATCTCCGGCGGTAAGGTCTCAGCAAGTACGGAGCTAACACGAAAATTATTCATATAAAAGGTTGTGTGTGACCGACCCCAAGCAGTTGTCCCTTGATCACTGCGGTCACGTTCTTAGATCACTAAGACGACGCGCAATGCTAACCGGTGCTGGAGATGGTTGGAAGAAAGTAAGGGGCGGCCAAACCAAAACGTGGCATCAGTGCTTGAAGTCACTAACTTCTAGTCTGAGCCATGTTGGTAGATGCAGACTACTTGGTTGGGGTCCACGTGACTACTGTGACCAATGGTTGGAGACTCTGGGTGATATGACTCGGAATCGATCACAATAGCGTCGGTGTATACACTCTCTGACTTCCTTTAAACTATGAGATTAAGATCGCTTCATATTTTTCTACGAACTAATTATTTCTTCCTGTACTATATCCTTAGATGCAATCTTTCTTTTACATATTACCACCATTGAATTAACTACTTTATGAATCCTGTGTTCATCTTGTTGTGCTGAGGTATGGCAACTTGGACCGATGCACACATGTACCTGGTCCTACGTTGTAGTTGACTGACTGTGTTGTTAATGAAATTGAAGACAAAAAGATAATGTACGGCGCTCTAACCGAGTTGGTGGATGTGGAGGATCCACCTAGGGGATTTGGAAAACCCTGATTCCAAACCAATGGTGCACATGGGCTCCAGTATCCTGAAGAAACAAATGGCGTATGAACCTATTGTTGTTCACCGACCACCATGAGGACTGCATCTTTTTACGTTGCTCCCCTGCCTTGTGGATTAGACCTTTAGGTCAAATGCTCCGGGTGTGACCCCCTAAGAAAACCACCTGCTTCGGATTGGGCACCCGGGTAGTATCATAGCCCACACACGAATCGAGTGGTTTGTGTGGCGCACATTTATTCGGTGCCCTTTTGTACCAGTATTTGTGTTCAAATAAATAAAAAAAAATAAAAGCCCTCTGGAGATTGATAAATTACCTAGGAATCCAAACAACCGAACCAAATTAAGGAAACATAATTTTATAGACCGAGGATACTGATAAGACAGTCTTTTAGACAATTAGGGAAGAAAAGTAAGTGAAGTGATCCATTAGGATGCTCATTTTAAAATGAGAAGTGAAGTAATTAAATCGAGCACCACGCTGACTTCTGAAGTCAAACATATTGAGCATCAGTAAATACAAACAATGGTGAGTACGTGTTTAATTACTAAATACGGAGTCTAGTGTATTTATCATAAGGCATTCTTACGAGTTGTAGAAAACTAAGGTATTAGTCACATTGATTGAATCAACAAAGTGCAAAATAAATCCTAATAAATAAACTTTGTATGTGTAACACCTAAAATTTATCAGTGCTACTGATAAATCTGCCAATTGAACGCTTGACCCCATTTTTTAGCCGCTCCTAATAACAGACTAAATCTACATGACAATGTGAACACAAGAAAAAAGGAGAGGAGTGCAAAACTAGAGTGATGATAAGAACTTATCAAAGTGATTTATTCACAGTTAGATTAACAGTCAGATCCGTAAAAACTGAACTGAGTCGTTATTAACAATAGTAATTCAATAGCTTACTGTATGAACACATATTTACAATGCTTTACAATTAACCATCTAAAGGATGTGATGAATACATGTCACAAACGATTAGAAAAAGAAGTCATTCGCACTTCAATTTGTTAAGCTATTACGCGCCACATCTGGAGACCGATTTTTGATAGACCTGTGGTATGATGATACCATATAACTATGATATCTCCTAGTTCCCTAAAATCTGAGCTACTTATGGATACACTGGGCATAAGTGTTTGTGTTTAGTGAGGTGAAATGATAAGTCACCCAGATTTAACTTCAATTAAAAATATAAACTACTGCTGACCACAGAAAATGCTAATTTATAAATATCTGGTCAATAATTTGAACAATGATCGTTGTTTATCAACATTAGCTCTTCACTTTCCAGGCTTTTTAAGAAAAAAGTATAAGTTACAAAATGCTGAATTTTTGCGCAACCTACTAAATTCAATCAAATATTTTCCATAACCTTTTCGTTGAAAAGGTGGAAGTACTAAGATACATGCCACATTGTAATCTTCAGAAGATTCTTTTTCTTTTGAGAAATATCCAACTAGATGGTAACCACGAGAGTCTATTTCACAAAGAACGTAGAATAAGAATGGATCTGTATCATAATACAAGGTTTTGTGATCCAGGAACAGTTTCGCAAGTAGACAAAGGTGTTGAGCATAAGTCTGAAAATAATCATTTCAGTTGAGTGAACCCACTTTATTTTTACGTCCATCAATTTCGAAAAAACTGTGAGGCAGTTTGCGGTAAACCTCGTTTCCAGGAGGATTTCTTAGTGTACATTTAGCCTAAAAGTAAGGAAAACTGATAATAATTCAAACCAAGTGTCTGCGCAGACATGTGAAACTCTTCAAATACTTCAGACAGAATTCGCATATATATACACATGGAACACTTGCTAATTCCTGTGGATATGGGGAAAAGTACCATGGTTTAATTCGATATCTTCCTAATTCAATCCATTCTAGATTTCTCATTCTCGTAACAGTATCTTGTTCATGGTGGCTAGAAACCATACTGCCTGTTTGCCTGGGTTTTCCAGATGACGTTGGAGAGTCATCGAACACAAGATCGTTCACATCATTCTGTAGTGTTAAATGTATGGGTCCTTCATAGATATCGTCAGGTGGTCGTTTTCTTTTCAGTTGAGTCAAACTAGAGGAGCTGGAGCTGCGATATTTCAGAGGAGGGTTCTAAAAAACAAATCAATCTTTGATGAAAGCACAAACCAAATCCGAATCTGTCGTTCGGAGCTCCGCTGAACTAATAACTTCATCCTCGGTGGAGGATAAGCTGAAAACAGGTGTGACAGGTTCTTTGGTCGATTTCTTTAGTGGTCGTTCAATTTTAGAAAAGTCGAGGCGATCTGCACTAACCCATTCGTCCAGCCGTTTATTATCTTGTAAGGGAAAATAGAAAATTATAAAGGCTTACAGTCATCATAGTGAACGTAATAGTATGTACAATCACCTACATCACGGGTACCCAAAATCTCAGCATTATCTAGTAATGTTATTTACACGCAAAAGTGTGTTACGGAAAAAGTCGGAGTCTGGTAGTTTTACCGGTAGTTTGCAACCCTCAATATTCTTTTTTGAGTTTGAAACGACCATAGTTGAAAAGGATGGTCAAACAAACAAAGCAACATCAGCTCGAGACATGTACCGCAATATATATAATTCCCGCCCTCGTTAATCCTCAGCACTAAGTGCAATAGGTTGTTTAAATTGTGTAATATATTTGTCACATCTCGTCCCAAGGATATCCGCTGGTGCGTCTGTAGTCACTTGGCTGGGAGAGCAGTCAGAATGTGAGCAACTCTTAATGCGAAAGAATGAGAGAGTATCTGGGTGTTTGCTCTTTGGTGTGCAGTCTCCGAGGTTTAACTCAAGGAGGGTGATGATGATGTTATGGTAATATACTCGTGTTGAGGCGGCTTGACATACCTAAGATTTTGTATTCCAATATCAGGTCACCGCTTATTGTACTGTAACTCAACGAGAATAATTCCAGGTGTTGAAATTTGTCCATGTAAAATTTATTTTCAAGACCTGTCACCCACTTGATTCTCCAGTTTCGTGTTTGGTTCAAAATATTTATGTCTCTTTTGAAGAGAGGAGGTGAAGCGACATTGTGGACTTCAAGGTAAGGACTTTTGTGCGTTTTAAACAGTGCTAGGAACGACGTTGGAATGGTTGCGCCAAGTTATATAAGCATAGAGCGGTGGATTGAGTTTTCCCTGGCCGCATCCCGTTTTCATTTTCACCTAGTGCACACATTCTGTGGCTAATAGTTCAAGATTGTGTTTCGAAGAGACAATGAAGAGTTGATTTTCATGAAGGACGTAAGTTCTTCATTTCAAATGGGGCCGAGTGTTCATGAAATGATATCCTAAAGGACTAAGTTTTAACCTACGGTTAACTGCCCATTCTTCCAAAGTCGTGAGCTCCCTTTGAAGCCTAAATGAATCCTCTTAGCTTTATACAGACCTCCATACTTCCACGTCATCCACGTAGATTACTGCCGCTCAGTCAATTTCGTTTAGCAGTAGTGGACTTAATATTGTCGCCAGTGTAACTTCTGATGTTGAAACCATTCGGCTTGTGTGCACTCTATCTACCTTGGTTCAAAACAATCTGTTCACTAGGTAGTTTTGGAACCGAGATAAAAGTGGATCAATGTCAACCATCTCTGTAACTTTCTTTATGAGAATTACATGTAGTTCTATGCCCATGGCTTTTGTGATGTCAAAGTACATTATATAAACCGATATCACCTGATCCCAGCATGTTGTTCAACTGCTTTATTCTATGGGAAGACTGGACTCACAGGACCTGTCTCTACTAAAACTGAACAGTTGTCCTATTACCTTCGACATTATTAATAGTAACGCTACTTGTCTGTAACAGGCCGAACCTTTTCTACATCACTCTTCAAAGATTTGATAGAGTAGCCTATCCCAGCCTCTTAGAAGTTACTCTGAATCTGGTTAGTGCTTGAACGAGTCACACAGCTTTGTACTGATGGCTTCCGCGCATTGTTTCAGGAGTATGGATCGGGTTTTGTCGCATTCTAGTGACCTGAAGTTAATCAGATATTACCAGGGCCATCAACTGATACATGAGTCAAGGAGTGTTCAATTCTTCCAGATTCCTGATTTAAATGGCCTGTAAGCTTTTCATGTAGTTTCCACATATTTGAGCAGTTTTTACAAGAAATGAGTTTCTGAGTAAACATTGAATTAAGACATCTAATTTTTAGGTTTATTAGATCATTCAGCTTTCGAACCTCAGTGGAATCTTTCTCCCCGTACATTCTTCTTTTTTCTCTTCGTGATTACTTTAGTTGCAGGGATGTAATCCAGTCAAAAATTGCAAAAATAGTTTCAGTCTAACGACAAACGTCAAAACGAAATTCAAGATAACAAGTGACAACATAAAAGTTTTCCAATGAGTCATTAGAAATAAACTCCAGTTTGTCTTAACTTAAATCTGACTGTACAGACACATACACTCAAACCTCTCAACACTGTTCGTGACCTGGGTTTAAGATATAGCAACAGTCTGAACTTTTCTAAACACATTATATCTCAAGTATCCAAAGCTAGAAAGCTCATCGGATTGATAATGATAAACTTCAATAATATCGAATCGAGATTGTTACTGTACAGAAAATGTATCTTACCCATTCTTGAATATGGTATTTTAGTTTACAGTAATTGTAGACATAATGATCTGATTAGAATTGAAGGTGTTCAAAGAAAGTTCACCAAAGCTGTTCTGGGGTATTCCGATAACAAAGACTATTACCAAAGATGTCAACAACTCAACTTAGAACCTCTTTGGATCAGACGTATCAAATTAAATCTTGTCTTTATCTACCGGCTCATTAACGGTATTTCCTACTCATCGGTATCCACCCCTTCATACCTTATAATATCATCCCACAATCTACGCAATAAGGAGAACATTCTAGCGATTCCAAGAACCCACACAAACTTACGTCAGAATTTTTTCCTTATTCGCTACTCAACCATGTGGAACAGACTGCCAGTGAACCTCCGTTGCAGTGAAACTACAACCCGGTTCAAAAGTCTCCTTGACGATTTTCTTTCCGAAAGTGGATTATGTCACCTATTGAATATCAATGTATTCAATAATGATTTATACAAACAAGGTCCGTCATCTATTTAATTGCTTGAAAAGCAAAATAAAAACTTTAAGTCTTTTCACGTCTATTTTTTATTATTTCTCTTTATCTTAATATATGAAGTCTGCTTATGTTCGTGTTTATCATTATTACCGTTATTAATATCATTTTTAATTCCCCAACACATTAGATATTCTCTTTATCTCTTCTTATCCTTCTAAACATATTTAACTCCAGATTGTCCTTTGAAATCATTTTGACTTTCATATCATCAATCTTAATTATTATTGCACAAATATTTATACTAATATCCGGTTTCATTCTGTATACTATTACATAAATCTAAATGTATTCATCCGAGTGCTTTAAAGGATTTTTATTCATTTATTTTTTATTTTTTTTTCAATTGCTGGTTTCCTTCTGAAGTTGATATTCATTACACAATTATTATTCTTATCATGGATGAACCTTTTCACTAGGTGTTCACTTCTTTTCTCGCTCTTCTTCCCTTCTAAATAAATCTTATTCTTAAGATTATGAAGTTTCTAATTAAGACAATAACTTGTGTTACACTTTAATTAACTTCTCAGATTAGTTTTATCTTCACTATGCATATATGAATCATACAGAGTGATATTTTATTATTCTTTTCACTTAATTGTGACTTTCATAGCATCACTCTAAACTATAACCGCACAAACATTTATTCTATTGTCATATCTTACTACAACGATAAATTATTTTTTGTTACTAATTCAACGATACACACATGGTCGTTTTTTCTTCTTATCTGTTCATAAACACGCCTATTAGACTGTTTGCTTATTTCACGTCTCCTTTATTTCTATTCCCTTATTTTCTCCATTTCCTTCTTTAAACTCAATTCAATATTCTTCTCAATTACACAGACCTGATTTATTATTATTATTATTATTATTCTACTATTATTATTCTAATTTACTTTTTATTTTTTAAATATGGCAAGTATAATGCTAACATTATTGAAAATTGTGTATTATTGCATTTTATGAAGAAACCCGAAATGGTTTCTTCACAACACTTATGTACCCATAAGAAGTTTGTGAATAATAATAATAATACGTTTCTCAGATTTCAGATATTTTCGTCTGAGTATTCCCGTATTTAAATTTCTTTGTCACATCTAAGAGCGCACTCTTTCCAAGCTATCCACATACTCTATGTAGGATGCAAGTATCCCAATGATTAGAACTAAACAACAGAGCACGTCCACAAGTCACACATAATTCCAATTTAGTAGTTAAAACTAGTTTTAAATGCTGGCCCAGAGCAGTGGGAAAATCGATTACATTTCGGTGTTATAGTGATGAAAGATAGTTATAATTGCATGAAGCAAATAACCACATATGATTGTGAGTGAACTATTGATAGGAGTAACAGTAAATCCGAAAAATTCTTAATTCTGATAGTTACCTATCATTATATGTATGGAAAAGCATAACTAGCGGTTGTTGTGTGTCTTTATTTAGATAGTAGAATGGAGAAATTGGAGTGCTAGGTCCGAATTTAAACACACAAAACTTTCAACATCCAATATAGGATATACAGTATAAGGAACTAAATACAAAACTTAGGCAATAATGTTTTAAAATTACGTAAAGATTCTCCGTTAACTCTTAACCACCCTACTTAGACCGGTACATCAGCCTCCTCTGAAAATCAACCCATGGGAAAAGCCGTTTGATAAATTCATTAAACCGAAACATGTCGGTCCGATTTTTGTAGCTTAATGGAGAATCGCTCCATCGCTCAGTGTGCGACCTTCCCATTCGATTATCAACCACCTAACTTAAGCTATTACAAATTCATACGCGAAAGCAGATAGCACAGAAATCGTGTGATCCGTGGTTGAGGAAACGAAAGCTACATGAACATGGTTGTGTCTGCTGGAGTTTTGAACGTCATTCTAAGGTTAAACAGTCGACTGTCAGTTGAAAACTTTAAACACCGGTTTACGTTTACAAATGTGGTTACATTTCAACCAGTTAAAAGTTTCAGAATCGAAATTTGATTAAGGTCCACACTTTTCAATGCAAATCGCTAGCCGCCGCTTTTTCTGGCTGTACTTTTTTGTACCGTGTAAAGCGAATGATCGTTAGCTCTTCATACACGCTTCCGAATAGGTTATGCGAATAATGAACATAAGTGGTGTGTGAAAACAAGTAAAAATGACAACTTATTGGAATCACTACAATTTCCACAAAACTCGTCTCTGATACTTATCGAAAAATCTAAATTGTAGAAGGAACAGACAAATCAGATATTCATGCAGGCTGCCTACTTGTATGAATGTTTCCATTTTTTATTGGGCTCATGAATAAGGCACCTGCCTGGTATTCTCCTAGCACTAAAACATGCAAATCCAAATTGCATTCTTTCAACGAGTTTCAACCATTTTTGGCTGTCTAAGAATGGAAAGAGCATT